TATGGATATTTATAAATTTTCAGTTTCTTTTTTAGTTTAGTTGTTTATTGAGTGGCAAGACCACCTCTCTGGAACGGTGGTTAATTTTTTAGCCGGAATACGGTTAATGCGGCACTACCTTGGGGTCTTCTGGCTTAGTATTATACTCGGCCGAAAGATGCCAGGGTGTCTTGTTCCGTGACGTAGATGTCCAAAAAAGATTTCCCCCACCGTTGCTTGTCAGAATTCAATGGATACTAAATGATGAATCTGGCAATACTGCAATAAAAGAAAGATAATCAATCCAGGTATACTTTTTATGCTGTTTTGGATTTATTGCTTACTTCATCTTCATTTGTTGGCCTTTTATAATAAATTTTCTTCTGTAGACTATACAAATCATGCGTCATTTCTTTTAAAAAACATGCCCAATGATCATTTCTGATCTAAAAGACTGTTTTGGTTCTTATTAACTTATTATTGTCGTACGATTTTTGTGTCCTACTTGACATATGTTTTAGGTTAGATTTTGACTACGTTACTTTCCATAATATATATGTTTCTGCTTCTTTGTGTTATCCTTTTTGCGATTTATATATTTCCAAATTATTTAAAATTGTTGGAGATGTATTTTACTGGATAGCCATTTGCTGACTTTTAGCTTATTTAGAATTGAATTATTTGTCCTGTGGTCGGTCCACGGAATATTTTAGTGGCGTCTATCTTTCTTCTTTCCGTTTGTCGTAGGGTCCAAGTTTCGCATCCTTATTCAATAGCCTTTTAAATTTCCTGTTTGTGATGTAATCTACTGTTTTATTTTTATTTTTATAATTATCTATATAAGTATAAAATAATAGTTTTGATACTTGGATGAATTTATTCATCAACCACAATCTCACTGGTCCAAAAAGGTGAAATACTAAAATTATGGAAAAACTTTTACGAAATAAAATTGAAGTGGAATAAATTCAAGATGAATATTTAGATGACAATCTAGAAATAGGACAAGAAGTTAAAGATATAATATAAAAATAGTACGTAGTAGAAAAAGATTACAAAAAAAAAATGGAAGAGTTGACTATAACGGAAATATCTATATGAAAATTAGGCCATATTACACAATTCCTTTAAAACAAATTTCATAATTATCCTGAGCCATTACTGAAATCAATCATTTCATACATTTATCTCACATTGTGTACTTTTAAAGATAAACTTAACAATAATTATAGTTACATTGGAATCTCTAAAATTTTGCAATATCTCTTAAAGTCGATCTTAATTATCCTTGTAATTAAAGTTAAACAAAATTAATACTATATTAATACTTAGGTACTTATTATTGAAGTTATACTTCTATACGCGCGTTCGACGTTGAAAATTTGTACGGGAGTGAATCGGCAAAATCATTACATATGTAAAATATAGGTAAGAGAGAGACAGAAGATAAATTTCCTCTCTCTTTCTCTCTCCAGAAAAAAAAGTTCCTTTTGTAAATATATTTAATATTAAGAGAGTATAAATGTGTACTTATATACACAACAAACAACAATTAAATTTTGTGTCTGTCAATCTCAGACAAATTGACAGTTGTATCACGAAACAATATTTTTATTAATATTATTATCATTGTAAATTAAATATATGCGTAAGTAAGTTATGTATATTGTCATTTTTAAATACTTATGAATATTGCATTTTAATTTGTATTGTATTATTATATTAAATTATGTTGCAGTGTATTGTATTGTATTTTTATATTAATAACAAAATAAACAATGAATTTTACTGTAGAGTAATTCAATCCTTTATTTACTATACTCCTATTATAGGTAAAATGTTGTGTATATACAGCAAACGATGCACTATATATCTATATACCTAATTCTGTTTCTCTCTCTGCTCTCTCTTACTTATAGCATTACATATGTAATGATTGTGTAGATTGACTCCCATATAAATTTGTAACGGCGAACGCGTGTATAGAAGTATAACTTCTACCGACAGACCCATTTTTTTTTTGTTTAAAAGGTTATAATTATTTTGAAGTGTTGTTAGCCCGCCATAGAATGCGTAAAAATAATATTTTGTAATTTTTATGTTAAAGGAATAATTCAATTTAATGTTATTTCGTATAAATATATTTTATAGGGGTGACAAAGTGCTGGCAAAACTTGGAATTTTGAACTTGGAAACTTGGAAAAAAACACACAATTAGAATATTTTAAATTATATTTTATATTTAATATTATTTCTATTCATTTGACCCCACAAACTTGAACTTAAGTTTAAACTTACCCTACCGCTAAATATAAAAAATGTGATATTTTAATGGACTATAAATATTAATTACTAATTAAGAATAATAATGAAATAAAAATTAAATACTAAATAAACTTTAACATAATTTAATCCGTTTTTTATTAATATTTCAGGTGATGTTTGCATTTAAATAACATTCTAGGTAATGTAATAATACCAGATCAGTTAATAGTAATAAATATGATCTGCACAGATATCGCCGACGTAGTACATATTTCTTTGTCGATATCAGTTTTTAGATAACCTGAATCATTTTCAATGATATTTATATGGATGGAACATTATTTTTATAATAATAATATGTTATTGTAATAGCATAACTTTGATTATTTGGTAAACCTACATTACACATCACAAGAAATTGAACAAAAATTTTTAAAACTTTTAATCAGCGTTGATTAACGTAATAGAGCAGTAAAATGTTATACATAAAGATGTAATAGATACCTTTGCTTACTGGGTCCACTAGTAATAAGGTTATCAGAATTAAATGGGAAACCGGTCTTCATTCATGGTCTTTACTTATTAATATCTTCCCTCTTTCCACCTATTATATATTTGTAAGTATCTTCTTTACCGATTTTGATGCCTATAGTTATTTTTAAATCAGACTAATTTTGTATTAGTTTGTTTTTAACATAATATTGTGCAACCTTCAGTTTTTTTTTCAAAATGATTTTCATATCTTCCACATAAGTAGTTTTCACTATAGTAATTAGAAATTTACCTTGCTTAACGTTTATTCTTTGAAATTCGTTTATCCTGAAGTTTCCTCGATATAAATTTTGATACATTCCTCTGTCTTAACTATCACATTAGTTTGGTTCTTATCTGCGACTTTACACCGCACCGCACTTCTCACGATGCCAACAAAACGCAAACGCAAAATGCAAACAAAAAAAAGTTAGTGGTTCAGAATATGTATATTGTATCACCTTATACTTTTAGAAAACAGAAGTTAAATACTCCGCTTAAAACTATATTCAACACTAGCAGAAGAACAAGATTTTAGGTCCGGAAGATCACGCACCGACGATATATTTATATTGAGGTAGGTGCAAGAGAAATAATTAGAATACAACATACAGGCATATCTATGTTGCGTGGATCTTAAGAAGACATTTGAACGGGTCATAGTAAAGAACGTTATCCACTTATTATACACAATTGAGATGCCTGTAGGAATAATCAAAACGATTGAAAATATCTACCAAAACAACACAATAAAAGTAAAAGAAGAAGAAGAACTAAATGAAGCTATCGAATCTGGCAATGAAATAAAACAGAGAGATTCCCTGAGTCCTCTTATATTTAACCTGATTATGGATGAAATAATAAAAATGGTAAGAACTAAAAAAGGATACCAAATGGAAGAAATACAAATTAAAATAATCTGCTATGCAGATGATGCTATACTACTCTCTCAAAGTGAATATGATTTACAACGTATTTTTAACCAATTTAATATAACCGCCATAAAATTTAACATGTCAATTTCCTCAGAAAAGACGAAATGCATGGTTATAATAGCAAATTTATTAAGTTGTAAATTGGAGCTGGAGGGTCAGATAATAGAACAAGTGATGAAGTTTAAATATCTAGGCATTACATTATCTAGCTACGAAAAACTCAAAACTGAAGTGAAAGATCAAGTGAATAGAATAAACAGAGCCACAGATTTCCTAAATAAAACAATATGGAGAAATGAAAATATCGGAAAGACATCAGACCAATAATGACAAATGCGCCAGTAACACCACCTGATACAACGTGGACAAAATGATACGACGTGGATGATAGAAACAGCAGAAATAAAAACACTCTTACAAAAATTGATGGTAAGACACTGTTAAACAGAGCTAGAAGTATAGATAAACGACATCAAGACCTAGGGAAGAAATAGAACAGTAGAATGGAATGATGACATACGTCGAATGACAACAAGTAGACTAGTATTAATAGTAAACTTTCTTGTATTTCCAAAAGCACAATTCCAATCACTGCGAAAACCACCGCTTAATCAGTTTAAATGATCCACGGATTCAAGGCGCCAGCGCATCTAAAGGAAATTCACAAGATATTTATCATAAGTGTTAAGAGAGGACGAGAAATACTCCATTTTACTTTCCAAATCGGCTTGGGAAGACAAGAAACACTTTTTTGCATATAATAACTAGTACAGAAAAGCACTGACCATAAAAAGAATGTCGTTATTTGCTTTATCGATTACCAAAGGGTATTTGCCAATATAAAACAGTAAATATTTGTTACCGACGTTACAAGAGATTGGTCTAGAGCGATTTGTTTATAGTTGTGGTAATGCCGTAAATTCTCAAGAAGATATTCAAAGGGGAGATGCGTATATTGATAATATGAATAGATAATAGGCTATAGAAAGGTAATGGAATCTATTCTATCTTAGTATTTAGCTTAGAAGCTTATTCGGATTCTCTTTGTTGGTCTTTTGGTGGCATTTAGACCACCATATTAGTGTGCCATACGTAATCATAAGTCTGTACAGTCATATATAGCCAGTACATATGTATCTTATCCGACGTCATATTTCATTTTGACGTTGGTGGATAAAACCAATCATATGATGTCAATAATACTATAACGCACTTTGACATTAGTTTTATAATGTCAAAGTCCGTATTTTTGTAATCATTCTATTTAATTTTGATATTTAATATATTTTGATGCATTTTTTCAAATTATTCGTTAAGAGGTAAGTTTATAAAAGATACTTAATATATTATATTTCATTATTATTCTATATTTCAGATTTGCAAGGCACGTGAAACTTTTCCCGAGAAATAATCCTAGTCAGTTGCTTAATAGAAAACATTTAAAGAAATATAAAAAAAATGTTTTTCTTAAATTTCTACCAATTTCTACATCTAACAAAAGATATTATTCCCATAAGTTCGACTATAGCAGGGATTCGAAAAGCATATATAAGGTGATTTTAGGAGCAGCACTTTCTGGTTCCCTATTCGTATATTTACTCAGAAGTAAGTATTTAAATTAATTATCTACTTTAACTTTATCATTATACTGGCCAATTTAAATACAGTACCCAGAAAAAATCCTAAACCTTTCTCTCTAAATCTTAAATCCGTCATTTAAAAAAAAGACAATGGAACCTTGGAAGAGACTAAACAAAGCGACAAAAAAATGCTACAAAAACAATAAAAAATGTTTCAAAAATAAGGATAGTAACGCAACAGTTCGTAACCCCACAAATGGTAACGGTCAATTCGCAACGGAGCGGCGCGGCGGCACTTAAGGTCGATTCAGACACAACAGTCACGTCTCGTCACAGTGATTGCTCCGAACCGAACAATCCGTCATACAAAATATTCTTTAATACAAATATGTTGCCGTCATTCACACTCATCAGTTGACAAACAGTTTCCCAGCTGTCAGATAGTTGATAGTTCTGTGACCAAATAGGACCGGTTCGGCGCCGAGACTATGACGGGACTGATGTGTCTGAATCGACCTTAAGTAACTTCGACGGTTCGTAACTAAAACTATACGTGTCCATGGTACAATGAATGCAAGGTATGATATTGCGCATGACATTTGACAGCTGTCCCAGGAGTGTGACGTAGTCAAGACCGCTCGAAATGGCTCGAACCCATTATTACAGCTTAACGTACACATGAATTTTGAAATTATGGTCAAAAAACTGATTGAATTTTTTTTAATGTTTTGTGTTGGTTATAATTGAATAAAAAATATATTTTCAGTAGCATAAAACCTTTACTTTTCCTGGGGATTCAGACGAAATATTTATTTTTGATTTCATACATATACTAATAATATAAGCACTCTATTTGATATAATTATTTGACTTTTTAACTTTCAGTCTGTAAATAGTTTTAAAAAAATACAATTGAACTTGTAACAGTAAACTTGTAAATTAAGCCCGTGTAACTGTCTATTACTCATTAAGGTCGATTTATACTTATCCGTACCGTGTCAGTTCCGTGTCAGTGCCGAGTCCGGGTATTTTTAATGTTATTTACATACAACCGCGTTGTGGCAGTGTTCGTACCGTGGCCGAATACGAAGAAAACGTTATTACATATTTCTGTGTAAAAGATGGTTAAAAATATGGCGGTTTGGATAGAAGAACTCACTGTGTTTTCATAATTACTTAATGAAAAGGAAGAACAAGAGCAGAAAAGGTGGAAACAAAGAAGATGAAGTGTATATCCTATGTGTAAAAAAAGACAAACCGAAGGAGAATTCAAAATATACAGAGAATTATTGAACGATAACACAACATCTCCTGTTTGTCTGTTTACCAGAACTCGTGTTCTTAAAACAATAAAATCGTGTTTATACAAGTCCGTACGGTCCATGCCATTTCCGTTCATGGCCAATGCCGAAAAGAAAAATATCGTTTTTTTTATCGAAAAAAATATGTATAAATCGACCTTTAAAGGTGATTAATTTTACTATTCAGTTGGAATCTTCTGTTCCAAAAATCTACAGTTTAAAATCTACAGTTAAAAATATTTCACAATAAAAACATGTCAACGGAATTGCTCTTTTATTCTATTTTTTTGTCTATTAAAGAAAAAAATAATTTTAAATTATTTTGCATAAGTTGACTTTACTTACCTTTTGTCATTATTTTCTATTCTAGAACTTCTTTGTATCATAATACAAATTTATATTAAAAATATTTAACATGTTTTAAAATAGTCTCGAAAATACACCAATCCCTAAATCAATTTGGTAAATACCCGCTAATGACAATAATCAGTGTGTTGTTCTTTTTTCTCTAGTTGAAATATTTCTAGTTTCAATATAATTCAATGTAAATGGGTTTGCAATCAACATGCCCGGTTTATTATTACTTTTAGGTGACGGTTGGTCTTTGTTTTTGTCATTAAAATAACTAACTTCTAATTTCGTTATAACAATAACCTTCTTTTATTGAAATACATATTTCTTAACACGTTTATTATTAGTTAATATGTTTGTACGTGATATTATCTTGTAGGTGTCAAAGTTGTTCCAGGTGAATATAAAAAGGGATTGCCGGATTATACAATAGAAGAGGTCGCTAAACATAAAACAAGGTACGCAAATTTATTTATTTATTAAATATTAACAAGATTCAAACACGATTATGTTTTGAACGTTTAAATTTTTTAAACGATATGTTTTGTAAATCTTAGGTACATTTTAATTTTTAAATAAAGAAAATTGCGTTACCGAAAAATGTTTGTTACTTCTTGTTAACAAGTCTTAACTAAGACTTACTCCATCTCTTAACTAAGCTTAGTTACCAATAATACTGCTCATTCAAAATTTCGATGGAAAGTATTTTACAAACAGATGGGAAACAATTGTTTATTTTGAAAGTATCACTGAATTTTTTGTATGTGAAATATCTAATACCAACTCAAATCTTTCGCAAAACTAAATAAAAGTAACAAAATTACTTGATACTTGTAACTCTTACTGGATCAGAGAACTAAGGATTTTCTCGTGACATTCGTTAATACAGGTATCTAACGACTGCTTTTGATAAATTTGGTAATAACACTATGTAATAAACAAAATTTGCAAAAGACTAAACTTACTTTTATACTTATAAATAATATATAAACAATGTAAGATCGCTAATTACTAAAATCGCTAAAAGAGACACAATTTTACTGAAAAAGCATATAAAATTATTTAAAATGATGGTTTGTAAAGTTACTTTTGTTGATTTGTTACTTAATTATTGCAAAAATAGCTTCAAAAGTTGATTTTTTTGAAAATTATTAATTATTAATTTAATTAATTAATTAATTATTGAACTTTGTAGCATTTTTTTGTCCACTCTGTAAGTATATCAAATAATTTTCCTAACGTTTTATTTATCATTTCAAACAGCGGCTTAAAAGAACTTTGGCACTTTTCTTACGTAAAACTGGTTTTAGTTAAAAAGTTGGCTAAAACTTTGCGGAAAGGCCATGCTATACAAAAGTTATCGTTGCGCCATAACTCAGAAATCAATTGTTTCTGAGTTACAGAGGTTCAAATCGTCGGTTTTTATCACTTTTTTTTTTAATGGCTTTGGCTTGAAACCTTTAGCCACGTAATTACATATAAATATTGGTATTCATTCATACAGGATTGTACAAGGAGGACACTTTTCACGCTCAGGGATTCATCAGAGCGGATTTATTGTAAAAAACAAGACATAAACCACGGTTAGGTAGGTGGGCAACATATATATGGTAAACATACAAAGGAAATGTTCAAGCATACGATCAATTTTACATTCATACCTTTAATTTAATTTTTACAAGAAATATAATTATTTTAAAGATTTTTATATTGTCTTCACTTAATAGGAGATTTACGTTTAGTGGTGTACTTAATCCCTCTTTTATCAATTCTTCTATCAGCCACGTGCTTGTATTACGATGTAGTGGGCAGTTAAAGAATATGTGATTTAAATCAGCTATACAAGTTCCACACTCACATCGGTCTGTTGGGAGAACTCCTATTTTGTGTAGATGTTTCGGAAAACATCCATGATCTACTTTTAATCTTAAGACAGTTGACACTGTGTTTCTGCTTAGTGTAACATCTTTGTAAAATTATTTTACATCTACTGTAGGTTGTAATTTGTATAAATTAGTGCCCCTGCTTTCACCAAACTGAATCCATTGTCTGTCCCATTTAAATTTAATATATTGTTTGATATAGGCAAGTAGGTCACATGTGTTAAATTCTTCTATCATCATATGTGGGTGCTGTAATGGATTTTTAGCTATAGAATCAGCAATAGTATTGCCAACAATATCTGAGTGTCCCTTGACCCATATAAATTTAGTACCATATGGATCTGATAGTTTTAGTAACTCTTGAAAAATTTCTAATATGAATATGTTGCTATTGATTGTGAATTTAAAGTTTTGTAAGGAGTGCAATACTGACAGTGAATCACTGCATATGACAATTTTGTTCCACTGGTTTTCACAGCACAATTCAAGGGCTTTGTATATAGCACACGCTTCAGCAGAAAAAATGCTGGATTGATTATTTAAAATAAATGATTTTTTAATCTTCATTTTTGGTACAAAGTAAGCACTGGTTGTACATGTTGGTGATTTTGACGCGTCTGTATAGATCACAATATGATCTGAATAGCCACTTAAGATATCTTTAAGAGTAGCGTAGCAAAATTCGTTTTGGTATTTTGGGATAATAATATTTGTAGCTAGAACACTTGTTAGATGTGGTATATCCAACGATTTCCAGATAAAATTACAAGGGGAATTTATTAACTTCAGTTCGTTGCAAGTTATAATTGCTCTTGCAAGTGGTGGAGAGTTTTTTTTAACGAAGTATGTAGATGTTAAATCAGCTGTATTTAATTCATTAATTATTTTTGCATTATAAGTGCCACGATAATGTTGGTTTAGAAAATATTTGCTTGCCAGATATTCTCTACGTAATGAGAGTGGATTTTCAGATGCTAGAGCTAGGGTGGCTTCATTTCTAGTACTTTTCATCAATCCTAACACAATCATTAGAGCTTTAAATTGAATTCTATCAACTTTACGTAAATTGGTTATGCTAGCTGACCCATATACCATACAACAGTAATCTATTATAGATCTTATATAGGCTTTATAAAAATTCAATGCAATGTTTTGACCTGCACCCTACGATCTCTTACACACCATTTTAAGAAAATTAATACCTTTTTCGCAGCGACCAATTGTATAATTAATATGTTGAGTCCAAAGCAGTTTCTGTCAAGTATGACACCAAGATATCTAAATTCCGAAACAATTGGAATATCATTGCCATGTAAGGTTACATTCTTCTTCTTCTCGTGCCACTCCTAGCGGAGATTGGAAATCATCATGGCCACTGCGACTTTGTTAACAGCGCGCCTGAAAAGTTCAATCGAACTACACCCGAACCATTCACGTAGATTACGAAGCCACGATATTTTTCTTCTTCCCACACTTCTTTTGCCCTTAATTTTGCCCTGCATGATGTTTCTTAAAAGTTCGTACTTTTCACCTCTCACAATGTGCCCCATCTTTCTAGTTTTTATCTCATTTAGAATTTCGCATCTTTTGTCTAAAGTTTGGAGTAATTGCGAGTTAGTGACGCGGTCCATCCATGATATTCTGAGAATTCGCCTATAGCACCACATCTCGAAAGCTTCGATGTTTTTTATGGTCAACTGTTTTAGTGTCCAAGCCTCAACTCCATATAACAGGGTAGAAAAGACATAACACCGCAGCATTCGTATTCGTAACTTTATATTGATATCACGATTGCAAAAGAGTTTGCGCATTCTATTAAAGACTGATCTAGCGATTTCTATTCTACATCTAATCTCTTTTGTTTGATCAGTATCGTCTGTGATCCAAGCACCTAGATATTTATAACAGGGCACACGCTCAATCGTTGTATTGTCTATTACAAGATTAGCTCTGATGTTCTTTGATTTCGTGATTACCATATGTTACAGCGTGATGTTTAATATGGTGTTTTCTTGAAAAAAATACTATGGCACATTTTTGGTACGAAATATTGAATCCATTTAACCAAGTCCAATTATCCAAGTTGTACATAATATGTTTGAGTTCAGTAGTGCTTTCACTGTACGTTTTCTTATGTGAATAGATGACAATATCATCAGCATATTGTAAGCAAACAATATTGGGAGACCATAAATTGTGCAAATCATATGTGTACAAATTAAAAAGAAGTGGACTTAAAACAGCTCCCTGTGGAATACCTTTTGATGTGATCTTGGGTCCAATAATATTGTGACCTACTCTTATCGATACACTTCTCTCTTTGTATAGGTTTGATAGTAAATGTGCTATCGATTTTGGAATGCCAAGAAACACAACAAAGCAATCGTTAAATTTGTAAGGAGGTATTCCAGTTTGCAAAATACAGTTATAAATATGTAGTAGTAGTCTTTTAGCCAGTACACCCATTTTTTGTAACATAATGTAAGAAATCTGATCTGGACCTGGAGCTGTGTTTTTGGATATCTTAATAGCATATTCCAGTTCAGATTATGTTATTTCTTTTAATAAGTAATGTTCTTCTGGATTTAAAGCCATGTAAGGTATATGTTTGTCAACAAATGGTGGACATAACTTCTGAAGAATATCTTCTGCAACTGCGGAAGGAGCATGTGTGATGTTTGCGTTTTTGTTGTTTAACTTGTTAGCCCTCTTCCATATTTGAGTTAATGGGCAACTAGAGTTAAGACTGGAGCAAGATTTAATCCATGTTGTTTTGGCTTTGTGTTTAAACATTTTTTTTGTTGTAGCTTCTATCTTTTTATATTCAAGAAAATTATTCAGTGTAGATGCGGTTTTGTATTTTTTAAGAGCATTCTTCTTAAGCTGTAGCTGTGTATTACATTCATCATCCCACCAAATTGATTTTTGTCTATGTTTAGGACTGAAAGGTACGTTTTGGGGGATAGAAGCTTCACTGTTTGTATTAATTGCTCTATTCAGATTAAATGCCACTTCATTACAGTTTTCAGAGTATACAACATTCTTCAGTTCCATTTCAAGAGTGCTATGAAACAATTACCAGTTGGCCTTCTGTAATTTCCATTTCCTTGTTGGATAGACAACAGAAGAGGGTACATCAATATTCAACTTGATGAAAATAATATAATGATCAGATCCAAGAGTTCTATCCAATGTTTGCCAATGTGCTAGTGCAATTAGTCCAGGAGTTAGTAGCGTTAAGTCTACAGCTGATTTTGTAGAGTTTGGAGGGGTAATTCTAGTCGCCGAACCATCATTTAGAAATATTAAATCCATATCAGCTAATGCATCAATTATTCTATTGCCATCAGTATCATTTTTTGGAGAACCCCATACCGCATGATGGGCGTTGAAGTCACCTCCTAGTACCGTCTCTCCTTCGAGTGAGGAACACCAATTAAAAAGCTGTTCCATTCTCGGGTACTTATATTCTTGCCAGGTTTATATAATGAGATTATGTTAATTATTCTGCCATTAAAATCAATTTTTACACCACACATTTCCAATGTTCCAACATTTATAATATCCAATATCTT